CACTCTACTCTCCAGCAAAGCCACAACGAAGCCAACAAATGAGGCCGATCTCTGAGACCCCATTGATACAACCCTTCCTGCAGTAAACAGGAAGGGTTTGCTGATCCACACAACATGTCATGCTGGCCATTGATACAACCCTTCCTGCAGTAAACAGGAAGGGTTTGCTGATCCACACAACATGGACTGTCATGCTGGCCGCTGTTCCCCTCAAGATTGACTCATCCCAAATGAATGGGGTGAGGGGTGGGGAGAGAGATGCTGTCCTGATGTTCCCCGGGAGTGCTAGTGGCCGATATGGGACCGTGCATTTGAACACCCCATTTTGAGCACCCCACGAAGGGAGGGGATCCTGCTTTCCGGGAGCGGCTCTGTCCTCTCCTGCTGAAAGAAGCATTGAAGCGTCATGCGCTCAGCACCTCACTCCATGGTCTGCCTGTAAAGCCAGGATAAAGGCAGTGGTTTGAAGTTTCCAGAGCCCTAAAGAACAGCGAGAGAGTTCCCCCCACCACCACCACCACCGACGGGTGTGGATGCTAAAGGAGTGAGCTGTTGGCTGAAACGCTTTTAAAAACGATTTCCTCAAACTTGTCAGAGGCCTCTTTATACTCATCGTCCTTCGCTTTAGACATTGTCTTTTAATGATGTGAACCAGGGTTGTCTGCTCACTGTTTTAAACATTAAATATTTTCTTTCAATGTTGTAAGCCGCCGCCTTGGGTACTTGTCAAGGAGAAAGGTGGGGTAAAAATATTTTGAATAAATACATAAATAAAGCTTCATAGGAGTGCCTTCTCATTTATAGGCTTCACCGGCCTTCAAAATGTTGGAGGGAGGCCCTTGCTTTGATCTCACTGCCCTCAGAGGCAGGATGAGTGAGAAGCAGAGAGAGGGCCTTCTTGGCGGCTCTGGAACTCCCTGCCACTGGAAACTAGGCCTGGCCCTTCTCTGTTTGTCAGGCCACAAACAGACAAGGACCTTTTTAAAAAAATACCTACGGCCACAGGTGCTGTGGGGTTTATTTTCCCTTTTCTAAATATGTTTTTAAATTGCACCTTTTCACTTGACCACATTAGAAGGACCGAAATTCATCGGCTCCCATTTGCCTGGCTCAACCCTTGCTTCTTTTCTGTGTTTTGCTTTTTGGCCTTACGTTCATTTTTCAGTTTGATGGCTGCTTTTGGGACTCCCAAGTCCTGGGAGAAAAGAGGGGACAGGAAGCCAAGGAAGGAAGCAAGCAAGCAAGCAAGCCAAGAAGGCAAAGCCAAGTTTTGCCTTTCTGCAGGGTGATGTTCAAATACCAGCGGTGGAAATCGAAGGAGGAGAAGCAACCTTCAAATAATTTAATGCAGTGAAGGGTGAGGGAGACAACTACAAGGCTGAGTCCCACTGTGCATTTCCTATGGGTTTGGAGGCAGAGGGAGGGAAATCCCCTTTAATCCTTTCCTTAAGGGCCAGCCTTATGCGGAGGATACAAACTGTAACTTTGCACATGCCCAGGAACTTTAAAAATCCCGAGGGCCTCCTTTCCCACCTTGACTCAGATTAATCTCCTAAAGGACTACAAGTCCCAGCATGGGTGAGAGAGAAGGGGCCCAGTACTCACCCCACCGTCACCCCCGGGCCTCCTTACCCAGTCGCCGTCCCCGGTCCGGGCAGCGCAGCATCCAGCGGAGACCGCGTCTCCCACCGGCATTGAACCCGGAACGGTACCTGGGCGCCGACAGCGCGCAGAGGGCAAAAAATGAGGGTACACAGGGGGAGCAAAAGCCGAACGGACCGGCCTTTGGCGTCCTGCCATCGCCATGGCAACACTCCAGGAAGAGGGGGGTCTAGAGGACCTGCCCTCCAACTCAAGGATAGAATGTCCCCATGGGGAATTCAAGGAAGAGGCGGGCCCGGAGGACTTGCCCTCTGATTATGACAGGCTAGCATGAAAGGCCTTCTGAGAGCAAGCGTGCTAGACAATTTCTACACTCGCCTGCCTGTCCACTTCTCTTCGCCCTCTGCTGGGCACCTCAAGCCGGAGGACTCAAACCATCCTCCCCCCCCAGGCTTCCCAGTTGCGGGAATGAAAAGGGCAGCTCCTAATAGCCCCTTCCTATTCCCCCCCCCTTTGTTCAGAGCTGAAAGCAATATCTTCTTTGTTATTCCAATCACCTGACCCCAAAAAAAGGGGGGGGGATTGCTTTATTTTGTAGTCGGTTATTTTCTTTCTTTTGTTGTCAGTCTACCTGATCTTGTAGTGACTGATGTTTTCATTTTGTTTTGTAATGTTACATTCTAAATAAAATTTTACCAAAAAAGTGCTGCTCCTAGGAGGAGGAGGAGGAGGAAGGGCTCCTCGCTCTCCCAGGGATAAGGAAGGAGGAACCCTCCTAGCGCCTTGGTTTCATGATTCCCCCCCCCCCAAACCTTCAAGAGGATGACTGCTATTGAATCGCCTTTGGGTGGTTGCCTATTTCACCTGTTTTTTATTAATAAACCCCCCTCCCCTTTTCTCCTTTATCAGCCACTTATAAAGGTGGTTTTATAGGTCCGTAATTTCTCATTTAAACCAAGTGTCAGCTCTTTAAATTAGAAAGAACATTTCTGTGCCTTAATAAGATTATTGCATGAAAGGGTAGTAAATAAATATAGTAATAAATGGTTATTATTGTTGTAAATTTTGTTCTTGTTCTTATTGCTTTTAGCCCTACTGTCCACGCTGTAAGAGGTGGCAATTACACTGTTTAATTGGAAAGGTACCAGATGTCCGTGCCTGGATCTTCTTTACCGTTCTCCACATCCCGTAGCTAGAATAAGACAAGCAACTCTTCGTCCCAAAGACGTTACCTGAAGTCTAAAAATTAACACATGTACTCACACAAAAGAGAAAGCAGGGGGCGGGGCGGAATGAGAACTTTCAGTTCCTTGGCAACCCTTTGCACATTGAACAGGAAAACTACCCATGCAACTTCAGATGTAAAACTACACGACAATCAATGTACTTTAAAGACAGTTTATTCGAATTTTAAGAAACCGATTGATTTCTTAATCAGCATCTGCAAACGTAGGTGCAGCTGAGAGAACTCCACCTTCCTGCAGTGAAGTCTGTTCCGGGACACCGACTTCCTTATCATTCTAAATCGGCCAACCTTCCCGATGCTTGTACGCCCAGGGTCCTCTCAGCTCCTGAAGATGAGCGCGGCAAGTCCGACCGCCACACAGGCATGACAGGGACATAAGGAGAGCCTGGGGTCTGCACGGACGTTAACTGACGGGTCCATTGGAAGCACTCTGCGTGTTCTGGTCCTCAGGCTCAGGCTGCTGAGAGTGACCTCGCCTTGGCCATACAGCAGATGCACGCTGAAAAAGAAAGAGACAGCAACATCTGAGATAATGGAGACCGAACCAGTAGCAAAGGGGGAGGATGGCCCATAAGTTAAATGGACACTTTTAACTAAATCGTGGCCTTGAGGCGCTTGGGAAATGGGAACATGCAGGTTTCCTACACTGTAAGCTTCCCATGTGCCAGGAGACAGGTCTCCTCAGGCAATCCCCTCACCCAGGACCAAAACTGGGTGGTCCCGGATCGGGGAGGGGCTGCTTACTATGCTTTCTTCCCCCCCCAACCCGCAGAACACACAAACGATTCCAATCCCTCTCCACACCCTGCCTTGGTGGGTCCTTTGCATTGTGTTTTTGAGACGGAGAGAAGAGAGGGGGATCCTCTAGTGCCATCACCGAGAGCATAAGGGGGTCTCCGTCTCTTGCGGATGGGCCAAGACGCGTGGTAAGAACGCAGGGAAATGTGGCTGTTTTTCTTTTAAAGAACCTGAATCGTGGATGACAGACTTCTCTGGAGCACTCCCGCTTCAGCTCTTTGAATAACCACAACAAATGCACAAAGCTAGTTGCCTTGCCCGCAAGTCCTCCCTTCCCACATGCTCTTCGAGAAACGTACCTGGCATGCATGCCTTACTGCACTCTTCAGTACCACTTTCTTTTATCCCTCTCAGGGGTTCACTCCAGTGTGAAGAGTAATGGTTAGCTCAGGGATGGTTCTCTGGACTGAAGGCTCCTGCCCTGGCCAGCCTTGCTCTTTTGCTGACCCATAACCACCACCATGCCTTGAGCCCCTGTCAGCCCCCTCAGACAATCCTGCACCCCAAAAGGCAAGGTTCTGGGCCAGCCCAAAAGGGAAGCTCAGAAGTGGCACCTGGAAGCTTCTGTTTGACCCAAACGGCCGGCTGGGTGGCAGCAGGCACAGGGTTCCTGCGGGAGGGCCGGGAGCTTTCTGGAGGGAAGGCGCAGGCATGGGTGACATCTCCCGAGGGCCACCGTTTTCACCTTCGATACAAGCGCAACTACAGATAAGGTGCAGACACGTGTCCCAGGCACTTCACCGTGACTTGTGAAGCTGACCAGCCAGTGTCCTGCTTGAAAACCTGAATTTGGGAGACCCAGAGGCACAGTAGTGGACAACAGGCATACTAGGCATTGCAAGGAACTTATGAGGTTGATGCTTGTTTGGTGAAAGCTCTCTTCAGGAGCACTTCAGTTTTCAATGAGGAATCTGAATGACCTACAGCAGTGGAGGGGAACCTCCCAAGACACCAACAGTCCTCAGCTTCCAACCCCTAAGCATACCAACTCCTCAAGAGGGGCACAGCAGATGGGAAACACGAAAGCACCACGTGCCTATTCTCAGATGTCAGGTTTACTGGTTTCAAAAACTTCATGGAACATAACAATTATTCTAAGCAAGAGTTACAGCCAACCGCACTGTGCCAAGCAGGGATCATCCACAAAGACACATAGCAACATCATGGGCCGAATCCAACTTTAACACCCACTTAAACTGCATGAGACCGTATGTTAAATCCAATGAATTCCATAGGTTCCCTCTAGCTAGGCGATGGGCAGCTGGGTTTAATCCCATGATATTAAACAGAGCACGTGGCCCAGTCCCGGCCAGCCCGCGCCCTCAGAGGGCTAGCAGGTGCAGCGCAGCAAATGGGCGACCCTGCTGGGCGGACTTTCGCGCCAAGCCCCCCTGTACAGCAGTTTCAGGGGCGGGGGCGGGCGTGGCTCGCAGTACAGCAGTTTCTCGCAGCAACCCAAGCACGAATCAGGCCTCTCCCCCCCCCCGGCTAGCCTGTAACGGAGTGTGTGTGCTTTACCTTCACTGGTTTCTAGTACCAATTTTTTTTGATTGAAATGGAGGCATGTCACAGCCGAAAAACAATTGTAGTGGGAAAGCAGGCTTGTTGCCCATTTGCCCTATACAGTGGTGCCTCGCATAGCGAGCGCCCCGTTGAGTGATTAAATCGCTTAATGAGGGGCTCTGGGCCATCGCTGGATCATTCGCTCAGCGATGGCCCTTATGGAGTTTTATCGCTGATCAGCGGTTCCAAAATGGCCACCGGAAGGTCTGTGCTGCATTTTCGCGCCCTGCCCTCGGTAATGGCGGCGCTATGGAGGAACATCGCTGAACGGTGAGTTTTCAAGCCATAGGTTTCTATGGCTTTTTCCTTTCCGTACAGTGATGTTTCGCTGGGCGAGGGTTGCTCCGGAACGGATTAACCTCGCTATGCGAGGCACCACTGTACAGTATGCTGCTCAATACTACACTCAAAGAACAGCATTTCAAGTATTTCTGAAAGAATTGTGAGTCCTGTGGGAAAGGAACTGCTTCTTCCTTAAGTGGCAGGCAAACGCTTTTAAGGTTTTTAAAGAGGGACCACCATTTGTTTCAGCTTCAGTAACAGGACAAAAGTAAACAATAACAATAAAACAATAAAAGTTTCTTGGGGTTTCTGAATAATATCAATAAAAATGAGAGATTAAAAACAAAAGCATTTCAATATATGGTTTGTTCCAAGCTGATCCACATGTCAAGATGAGGCTCAGAATGCAGCTGACAAAAATCCCAGATATAAACCGACCTACCTCCCCCACCGCACAAAGAAAAATGACAGGCAAAGGCCCTGTGACCGAAGGACTGAAGATGTGCATTCTGTGGGTCTGGTGTGACTGGGGAATACTGTACTATCAACTAGATTTGGGCCTTTACATCTACCTGATGTTCAGCAATTTGCAACGCTTCCTCCTGTGGGGGAGTGCTTGAAATGCAGGGAATTTTTTTAAAATAAATGGCTTCTTTCCAACAAAGGCTACTTTTCCTGGCCAGCTCCTTCCTGCTTCTAGTTTCCAGAAAAAAAGCAAAGAGCCTCGCCTTTAGAACGGAGCAAAAACGGCAACGGCACAGGACTTAAGACTTCCATGCGCCTCCCGTCCACCAGGCAGCCTGCAAAAGCCTGGCTCTCCCACCTGCCCCCCCACGCCATTAAGTACCTTTATGCAACCCCTTGTTTCTACATGGGAGGGGGAGCGCCCACCCCTTCTGCGGGCAGGTGGGGGTTAGGTGTCACGTTCCCGGGGGTTACAAAAGCCAAAGTCCAAGGTCAGAGATACCAAGAATGCAAAGCCAAAGTCCCGAAACAAACTTAGAGTGCAGTCCAATGTCAAAGTCCAGGGTCAGATACACAGTCAGAGTCCAGAATTCAGAGTACAATACCAACGTAGTCCAGGGCCAAGGTCCAAAGTCCAATACCAGTGCAGTCCAGGGTCAAGGTCCAGAGTTCAGAGACCGGAACAAGATGCAAGAGCCTGGATGCTGGAGGCGAGTCCCTCGCCTCTCCGCACCCCCCTTCGGCCGATCCCTGCGAGCTTCGCGGTGGGTGGCTAGAGGTCCAAGGGAGCCGCTGGTCCATGGTGTGCTCGTGTGAAACGTGAGGGAGACGACTACAAGGTTTAGTCCCACCCTGCGTTTCCTATGGGGTTTGGAGGCTAGGAGGCAAGGAAATCCACCCAGACCCCCTTTAATCCTTTCCTTAAGGACCAGCCTCACGGGGAGGTTAGGAGCTGGAACTCTGTACATGCCCAGAGACTTCAAAAACCCCAAGGACAGCCTTTCCCAACTTGGATCAGATTCCTCTCCTCAACAACTACAAATCCCATCATGGAGCAGGGGGAAAGGGGCCCAGCAGTCACCCCACCCTCACTCTCGGGCCTCCTTACCCAGCTGTCGTCCCCGGTCCGGATGACACAGCTTCCAGGAGAGACCAGGTCTCGCATGGGCGGGCAGCCGGAATGACCCCTGTGCTCCCCAGGTTTGGGCCGGGCAAGAAGCGGAGGGATACGACTGGAGCAAAAGCCGGGAGGACCGGACCATAAAAGGGAGAATTCCGCTCTAGCCCTTCTTCTCGGAGGGCCGGCCCTTAGCGTCATGCTGTCGCCACGGCAACACTCCAGGATGAGGCGGGCCCGGAGGACCTGCCCTCTGACTTGGGCAGGCTAGAACATCCCTGTGGAGACTTTCAGGAAGAGGGGCGCCCAGAGGACCTGCTCTCCGATAATGACAGGCTAGAACGTCAGCACGAGAGGCCGAGTGTGCTAGAGTAGACAGTTCCTCTACTCGCCTGCCCGGCCACTTCTTGGCTCCCTCTGCTGGCAGCCTCATGCCAGAGGACCCTAACCATTCCCCCCCCCAAGGCTTTCCGGCTGGGGGAATGAAAAGCGCAGCTCCTGTGTTACAGGCATTGAGAGGAGGAGGAGGAGGAGGAGGAATCCTCCTCGTGTCTTTTTTTCCTGATTGTTCTGCCAACCTTCAAGAGGAGGACTGCTCTTCAATCGACTTTGGGTGCTTGCCTATTTTACCTGCTTTTTTATTAGTAACCCCCCTCCCTTTTTCTCCTTTATCAGCCACTTGTAAAGGTGGTTTTAGATGTCTGCAATTTCTCATTTGAACTAAGTGGCGGTTCTTTAAATTAGAACATTTGTGTACCTTAATAAGATTACTGCATGAAAGGGTAATAAATAAGATTACTGCATGAAAGGGTACAAATATTCTACACTAAAATACATATATGATTGTTGAAATGCTTAAAAAATGTAAAGAATTTGAAAGGAACAACTAAGAAGACACCAAGATGCAAAAAAAAACCCAAAATAATTATAAGCAACCCACGTAACACGATGTTTAATAAGCACAAACTGAATGTAGATAGAATAAAAAACAATAAAATGTTTTTTGTTAAAACGACACTCACCTACTTCTCCTTTCTTCCACAGTCAGAGCTTCTTCACCCAATGGGTGTGAAGCAGTTCAAAATTCAAGTTTGTCTGCTGCCGCCTCATTGTCTTCTCTCACGATGTCCAGAGAGAATGTTGACTTCAAAGTGTTAATGCTTACATATAAGGCCCTAAATGGTTTAGGCCCTCAATACTTGACGAAACGCCTGCTCCACCTAGATCTACTCGGAGGGAGGAGGTGAGGCTGAGGAGCCTAACGACGAGGGAGGCCAGGAAAGGAATGACACGAAACCGGGCCTTCTCGGCGGTGGCTCCTCGCCTCTGGAACAATCTCGCTCCTGAGATCCGCGCGGCCCCCACCTTGGGCACTTTTAAAAGTCAATTAAAAACATGGCTATACATTCAGGCCTTCCCTCCAGTTAATATCTGACTTTTCTGTTTATTCTCTCCTTATGTATTTTCTATTCTATTGTTGTATTCTGTTTATTACAATATGAATTACGTAATTGTTTGTGGGTTTGTTTGTATTATTTCACTGTTTTTACTGTATTGGATGCCGCCTAGAATGGTCTCTTAGACCAGATGGGCGGGGTATAAATCAAATAAATAAATAAAATAAATAAAATGTTGAGAGGATGCTCAGGAAGAAGGCTTTTCCCAGTAAAAACTGCAAAGAGGCAAGAGAAAAGATGGTCAAAAAGTGTTCACATTTCTCGGAAGCGAGGCCAAACCCCCCTGTAGGAAAGCCCATAAAAAGATTTACACCCTCTGAAGAAAAACACAAGAAATGTCTTACCTGATGCAAAATCAAAACTCCTCCATTGAGCCCACCCACCCAAAAGATGGTGATGCAAAGCCTGCCCCTCAATCACTGTTGGAAGAGAGACCAAAGCCCCGCGGAAGTAAAACCCATTAAGAGATTTCCTCCACCCCCACCCTCTAAAGAAAAAAAAGAGAACACCCCCCAGAGAAAAACAGCCACCGGGCTCAGAAACAAGAAATCAAATTGCTACCTTAAGGGTGCGCACTCATGTTCTGTACCGCCCACCTGCTGCTGCTCACGGCTTTGCTTCTGTTCCTTTTAGACAGAATGAAGAAGACAGTTGTCTGCTTGGCCTTTATTCCTCTTCCGCACTTGAGGCGTCTTCACACACCAATGGGGGTGATACTGATGAAAATTCAAGGAGTTCTTCTCCCGCTGCCTGGCTGTCTTCTCTCTTGATGTGGAAAGGAACAGCAAAGAGGCAAGGGAAAAGATAGTCCAAAGTGGATCTTTTTTTCTCTAGGACAGTACACATATTCTCTGCCAAAGATAAAAAGAGAAGGGTTTTGTAGTACCAGACTCTTTGATTTAACCCTGGAACTCCCACCCAACTTATACAGTATATGGATATAGTTACTATTCGTCTTAGAATCAGAAGGTGCTTCACCAAAAAGAAAAGGGGAAAAAAATCAATGTTCTGGTTCAGTGTTTTTATACTTTAAAACCAGCTCAAGCTTACTTGATACAGTCAGATAGCTCCAGCAATGACCTGAAGGTTTACATAAACTCTTGTAGGTTTTTTTAAGTTAACAGTACAACTGCCACTATAATATTTCCACGAGGTGTACTTATGTAAAAACCTGTTGCGTGTCAAGAGCTGTTTGTAAGCAACAGACTGCCTGCCATACAGAGCATGGAGGAGGAAAGGATTGTTTGCCACAGTAGCACTTTACACTAAGATCTTGCACAGGGATGGACAATGAGCTTTTAAGAATGAGGTGACAGCACACCAAAAATTCACTCACAACTACTTCAACACTGGAAACAAAAAATACGACCACTACCAGCTCCAAGCACTACTTTCTAGACCACACAACTGATTATTATCTGTATCGTATGTCTCCATCTTCCACCTGGAACACACCACGAAACCTATCGTTCACATACCACAAGACAGACCTAAATGAGAAAACATCACTTGCCAACAACTCCCAAAACAGGACGACTCACATGGACCAACATTGACCTCTAGCCTGCTCAGGACTGGACCGCCATCCTTTTGTCTTCCAGGCATTGAGTGACAGGCCTCTCTCTATGCTCACTTATAAAAGCCCTTTCAAACCCAAGCAATTACAGACACCACAGCTCACAAGAGGCATGGATGTGAGGACAGCAAGAGGGCTCAGGTATAAGTAAGTCCTGGTGCTTACTAAGCCTTCCCCTTTGTCTGCTTCTGAACCCCAGGCACTGCATACTTATCTCAAGGTGTCTTCCAGAGTTGAGCCCCCCCCCCCCGCCGTGGCTAGCTGCAGGCCTTTAAATATGTTCTGTCCCCACAGTTATGTTCACATGGTTTAAACGGCGGAAAAATGGAGCATGTCAATTTTAAAAGAACAGGAGGTTCCCACTGCCATTCCTAAACCACTGAACAGTAGCAATCTCCTCCCTGCAGCCTTCCTCCTCCTGCTCCCTTCCTACCTCTGCAGGCTTCCACATGTATTTTATACCCATCACCAGAAACAGAGCTGAACACTTTACACCACAGTTCAACAGAGGAAGCCTGTCAGGTGCAAAACTGCTTTGTCCTTTGTAAGTCATCGGTGCTCAAGCAATACCCAGGGCAAATGAACTGCCACATGCCTGGGCTTTTGAGATAAGGTGACGTTTCAGAGCCATACATTGCCGCATCAGCAAATAAAATACTTGGCTCCTGAAAGCTCAGAAGTACATGCTCTGAAGAGCTGGGCCAGTTGCTGCTCAGTTCTGGCAATCCCTGCACCCAGACTGGCCAGTGGCAGGCACCTGGCCTGAAGAGCAGCGTAGATGAAACAGAATGATTTGCGCAATTTCTTTAAAAGCTTATCCTTGTTTACTTTAAATATTTGTACGTTTATGATTATCATGCTTGTTTTGCTCATTGAAAAAAATAAGAACTTTAATTTAAAATGTGTTATAGGCATTGGATTTTTTAATTCCACCCCACGACCTTTGGAGTTCTTGGAAACTCTCTTAACACCCTCCCGATAGCTTTACAGCCAACTCCTTAGGAGGGGCAAACCTTCCTATTGTCTGTCTGCAGATTTCAGTCCAAAAAAACAAGGCTTTCCTTCTCCTTCTGAAAGTACACAAGGACTGAACTCCTGGAGTGAGTTGGACATAGGTTAGGACTACTGAATCAGTGGGGATTTGGCGAGTTAACGCCTCTGTAAGTTCTGTTGGTTCAATGGGTCTGAATCTTTGTAGTAGTAATTTCCATCATTTTAATTAATTCCATTTAAATCAAATTCACTGGACCATCACCTTGACAGAACGCGTAGGGTGTGGGGAACAATATTTTCTTCAATGTGTTTTTTTACCCCTTGATTAGACTATTGTCATACTTTTGGACCAAAGGGGGATTCAAGAAGATTCTCATACTCACAAACTCCCAGGCTAGAGCTGGTTGGGAGGCAGGGAATGCCTGCCCCTTGGTTGAGACGCTCACCTACTCTGTTTGGGATCTTTTTTGCTGTCATGCTGAAGCACACCTTTGGAACTGCAACAGAAGGTGTCTATCTCCGGACTAGATCAGATGGAAAGCTCTTTAATCTCTCTAGATTGAGAGCGAAGACCAAAGTCCATCTGAAATGCATGCAGGACTTCCTCTTTGCCAATGATGCAGCTGTTGTTGCCCATTCTGCTGAAGACCTCCAGCAACTTATGAATTATTTTAGATTTTGGGCTAACAATCAGCCTGAAGAAAACACAAGTAATGGGCCAGGGCGTTGACTCGCCTCCCTCTACAGTGGTGCCCTGACTTACGAACGCCTTAACCTACAAACAGTTTGACTTACAAACAGCTCCGTTTGCAAAATTTTGCTTTGACTTGCGACCGGAGCTTTGACTTACAAATGGGAAAAGGGGCGGGAAATTCAAATATACGTACTAACCGTTGTTGGCGAAGAGGCTGCTTCTTTGTAGCTCTTTCGCCCCAACAGTTAGAGCAGGTGGTCAGGGAACTTTTTAACTTTTACAGTACTGTACCAGGAAAGGGATGCAGCGGCCCGGACCACTACTGGGTCCCGTTCCCGCCGGGCCAGGGACTCAGCGCAGCCCGCTGTTGGAGGGTGGCTTCTGGGCTGCTCTTTGGGGCTCCTTGCCCAATGCAGCCCGCCGTTGACTCAGCAGCAGTCAGTCCCTGGCCCGGCGGAAACAGGACCCAGCAGTGGTGGTGGCATCAGGCAAAGAGCCCCGAAGAGCAGCCTAGTTTTTGTTTTGTTGTGGGGGGAGGGGATTGACAGTCAGTGTTGTTTTGTTTTAAGGTGATTTTTTTTCCAGTCCCAGTGTGGGACTTGCTCTGTTTATTTTTATTTTGGTATTTTTTTGAAATGCTGAAACAGATTAATCCCATTCTCATGCATTTCAATGGGAAATGGTGCTTTGACTTAACGAACACCATTCCAATACGGATTAAGTTCGTAAGTCAAGGCACCACTGTATTACCATCTCTACACAGGAATTGGAGGTTGTTCATTATTTTGTGAACCTGGGCTCAACGATCTCGACACCCTCTCTAGATGTCCGAGTTGGATAAACGCATTGGCAAAGCAGCCACCATATTCTCTAGACTCACAGAGAGCATGCCTTAATAAGAAGCTGACGGCATATACCAAGATGCAGGTCTATAGAGCCTGTGTCCTGAGCACCCTCCTGTACTGCAGTGAGTCCTGGACCCTTCGTGCAGGGCAGGAGAAGAAGCTGAACACGTTCCATATGCATTGCCTCCGACACATTTTTAGCATCACCTGGCAAGACAAAATTCAAATATGAGTAGTCAGAGAACGAGCTGGAATTTTTAGCATGTATATTTTACCGAAACAGTGATGTCTACGTTGGCTCAGGCATGTAATGAGAATAGTTGGCGGTCGGATTCCAAAAGATGTCCTGTATGAAGAATGAGTGCAGGGAAATTGCCCCAAAGGGAGACCACAGCTGTGATACAAGGATATCTGCAGGCGGCATCTGGAAGCCTTAGGAATGGACCTCCACAGAAAGCCTGACATCCGAGCATTCAGCCTGGAGGCAGGCGGTGCATCATGAGCTCTCGTAATTGGAATAGACCCTTGTCCAGCAGGCCGAGGCCAAGAGGCAGTCCCGAAACCAGCAAAACCAGGGAGCTGGACAAGGGACGGATTGTATTGGTCTTCAGGGTGAAAGGGATGGTCAATCTCGAATTGGCCTCCTCAGCCACACTAGACGCTGTTCCAAGACCTCTATTCAGAGCACGTTCCCATAGTCTCTTGAGACTTAAGGATGCCTACCAGGGTTGAGACAGAAGGCTTCCAGGAAGATGGTCTCCAAGCGAGGAATCCTTCTCCTCTCCCTCCTCTTCTGCCCTGCCCTTGCCTGAGCAGGATCAGGTTCCTCGCAGGACAAGCACCAAGACAACTGGCAGGAGCACATTCTACAACAGTGGGGTCTGCCAGAGTTATCACACCCTTAATTTTTAAAGAAAGGATGTCAAGAGAACACCTGACCCTGAAAAAAACAATGACCCCCCCCACCCTGTTCCCAGAACATTTCTCTGAAAGGCAGGGGTTTTTTAAGGGACTTGGCAACTTCCCTCAGGCCAAAGAGGGAGAGGCTCCCTGAGCACCCCTTAGCAAGCAAGGAGGAAGCCTCATTTTGGGGAAAGCCTCTCCCCCCACCTCTCTCTCTCTCTCACACACACACACAGAGAGAGAGAGAGAGAGAGAGAGAGAGAGAGAGAGAGAGAGAGAGTTCAACTGGAGAAGGAGCCAAGTCACAGGAGGAGAAGCCTGGAAGAAAGGGCTTCGGAATCCCTGCCTTCTCTTCCCTTCTGGGGGGGCGCTACCCCCCCCTGGTTTTTCCATTTCTTCCTCAACACCAGCGCTCAGATCTACACCCCCTCTGCACAGAGAGCTCCGTCCCCCCCACACACACACACAACGTAAAAAGGCCCTTTGTGAAAAAGGAAGGTTGATTTCCAGCCAGCCTTTCAAGGGGGAGGAGAGAGCGGGGGGGGGTCCCCTCCGAAGGGCCGAAAAGGAGAAGAACGGCGACCCGGAGGCCCTCACCCTGACTCTCCCCCCCCCCCCCCCCACCCCCAAGGCCTGAGGACAGAGCCTTAACGGGGAAGGGCCCCGACTGAGCCCTTCCCCTGCTGCCGGAGGGGCCACCGCCTTCCCGTCGCAGATGGAGGGAAGGAGGGAGGGAGGGAGGCCCGAAAGGCTTTGGGGCGCCGCCTCCCCCTCC